TTATTGAGAAGTAACAGGAAGATGAGGAAGAGGCAGCAAGAGTAGATTATTCTGTTCAGGGCTTAGCTGTAAGGGGAAGAAGGGAGTGGGGAGAGAGAGAGAGAGCCAGTGTTCACACTCACACCACACACAGAGTGTGCCTGCCCAGTCCAAGCACTAGGGAGCTGATGGTGGTCACTGGAGGGGAAGGAGGTCAGGAGGGAAGGTTCTTTCAAATGTCAGAAATTTGATCATGTTTATAGCCTGAGGGATGGAAGCTGATGGTGAGGAAGAGATTAAATGCCTGTCAGATTGGATGATTAATGGCCCTACCCTAGAGGAGTGCAGACTTGGTGGGAACTTCCTCTAAGGCAGTACAGAGGTGAGGGAGGGCCCAGGTCCCTGTGAGCAGGCTTCACTCTGCTCCACCGGCTAGAGGGAGAGACAGGACTAGGACTCAGAACAAAGCCCAACGCTACTGATTAACCAGTGAGTAACCCGAGTCTTCGTTCAAGCTGAGTGAGGATGGCGTGGAGGACTGTTCAGCCACGGGAAGGTGGGTCAGGTGGGGCAGTTCACAATAAAACTCTGGAATCACTGTGTCTTTTAACATATGCTTTTAATGTGCAACCTGGAAACTTACTGGGCTTGGGAGCAGTTCTTTTCTTTTTTTAGAACAGACTTTTGGACTCTGTGGAAGAAGGCGAGGGTGGGATGTTTCGAGAGAACAGCATGTATGTTATCTATGGTGAAACAGATCACCAGCCCAGGTGGGATGCATGAGACAAGTGCTCAGGCCTGGTGCACTGGGAAGACCCAGAGGAATCAGGTGGAGAGGGAGGTGGGAGGGGGGATCGGGATGGGGAATACATGTAACTCCATGGCTGATTCATGTCAATGTATGACAAAACCCACTGCAATGTTGTGAAGTAATTAGCCTCCAACTAATAAAAATAAATGGAAAGAAAAAAAATTAATTTATTTTTTAATTGAAAGATAGTTGCTTTACAGAATTTTGTTGTTGTCTTCTGTCAAACTCTGGAACAGTTCTCAAGATGGTAGAACGTCACAGAGGTTCTGACGGTTGCATTCAGTCGTGTCAGCCTAGCCTCAGAAAGGAGGTGTGGGCTTGCTTTTTCTGGGACATGATTCAAGAGAGAGAAATGAGGGATGATTCCAGGAAACTTTGAAACAAAAGGATATAAGTTCAATGACTGATCAGATGATCTTTAAAAATCTTTTCAGTAAATATGAGGAGAGGTTATTTGAGGAGAAGAGGGGAATAGGGTGGGGTTTAGAGCTCAAAGAGAATGGAAAAGATTTGGAACAATCTCTGAAACCAGCCAGAGATGAATGCAAGTTTTGCCAGGCAGTGTTGGAAGATCAGCTGTAATTAGATAGAGTAAATTTGCGTGGAAACAAATTGGCATCATTAACTGACTCTTACCAGCAGTTCTCAGGCCATGGGGAGTGGAAACATAGGCAAAAGTCTTTGAGGTTTGGCACAGACTGGGCACACTGGTGAAGCAAACACACTTCAGACCTAGGGGCAGGAATGAGTTGGGAGGGAGAATTTTCTGGTGCAGAAATGGTACAATGGAAATGATAAGCCTTAAGGTATACGGTGGCTATGGAGGCAAATACTGCATGAAGGAAGTTGATAAACTAGGAAAATAGGGAGTTATTAAGTAACTAGTAGCCACAGAAGTCGAAATTAAAGATGTTTTGAATAAGTAAAAGCACAGAGTTGAAGATTTTAGAAGCAAACATACATTCTGGATCAAGATGAGGGTCAGGTAGTAGCTTAGATGGTAAAGAATCTGCCTGCAATGCAGGAGACCGAGGTTCAGTCCCTGGGTTGGGAAGGTCCTTAGGAGAAAGGAATGGATACCCACTCTAGTATTCTTGCCTGGAGAATCCCATGGACAGAGGAGCCTGGTGGGCTACAGTCCATGAGGTTGCAAAGAGCTGTACATGACTGAGTGACTAAGCACACACACGACTAGGATAGAGGTTGTAGTACAAAGCAATGGCTGGAGGCTGTGCTGGGCCTGGAGATGAGGAGGTGGAGCTGGGCTGGGATAAGGCTGGCAAAGGCTGATTTTGAGTTCAGGGACTAGGATGGTACTTCTCAATTTTAATGACAAAGACTGGGGTGATGATAATGAAAGGGGGAAGCTCATGTTAATAGATGCAAGCCAAGAGAGAGTATGTAGAAGTTTTACTAACAGTAGACCATGTGAAATTAAGCAACCCCAGGTTTCTACTTAAGACTTTGGTGTGTCTAATTGAAACGTCCACTTGGAAGGTTAGTATGACCAATCAGAACCCTGGCATTACCAATTGGAATGCTATTGGAACTTGAATGCAACCAATTTGAACATTGTCAACTTTAACATTGGTATGACCAGTTACAACCTGGCAGTTAAAACAGCCAGAGGGATTCTGGCAATAAAGAAAGCAGAGTAGATTCTTATCTTCAAGAGAGATGCTTTCTGAAGCTTTTTTGAATCCTGCCTGTCTTGGTAGGATTGGGTCAAGATATTGTATATTGGGCCAATATCTAGGTCAAGATATTGTCTTATATCTTGACTGCTAGTCAATAGATGACTGCATAGATACCATCTTAAAAGACTCAAGCACTCCACAGGAGCTGTGTTTTTAACTCTCCTATCCCTAGGCCTTGGCATCTGATAGTTGAACAAATGACTGAAGTGTCGTGGAAGAAAATTTTCTCAGTTCTTGGCACTCCAAAGCAATTGTTATTATCCTGTGGACCTGGAGTTCTAGAATCATCCCTTTTTCCTTTTGCACTCCTGGCTGAGAAATTTGCACACATTGTACTTAATCTCTAGCTGTGAATAGAACTTTCAGTTCAGTCGCTCAGTCGTGTCCGACTCTCTGAGACCCCATGGACTGCAGCACACTAGGCCTCCCTGTCCATCACCAACTCCTAGAGTTTACTCAAACTCATGTCCATCAAGTCGGTGATGCCATCCAATCATCTCGTCCTCTGTCATCCCCTTCTCTTCCTGCCCTCAATCTTTCCCAGCAACAGGGTCTTTTCAAATGAGTCAGCTCTTCGCATCAGGTGGCCAAAATATTGGAGTTTCAGCTTCAACATCAGTCCATCCAATGAACACCCAGGACTGATCTCCTTTAGGATGGACTGGTTAGATCTTGCAGCCCAAGGGACTCTTCAAAGTCTTCTCCAACACCACAGTTCAAAAGCATCAATATAGATAATATTGATCATCAATAAAGAATAGAACTTTAGGGTCTGAGTTTTATGCCAAAAATCACTCTGGCTTCATCTTTTTTCCTTACCTGCTTTAATTTTTACAAGTTATTTTTTAACTTGAATTGTCTATTTGCAAACTGCCTCAAGTAGATGAAAGGACCAGTAAATCTTGGGCCTGTTTTTTCATCTTGAAATAGGGATGATAATGTTGACTGCTGAGTCCCTGGGTGGGGGTTTATTGAGACAATGTATGTAAAGCACCCAGCAGTGTTGAGCACAGAGGAGGTACTCAGTGAATCTGTGTCCACCCACCCTGCTGTCAACACTGGGCTCCCTTATCTGGCTAACTCCTTATGACCAAGCAGCCCCACCTTTGCCCTGTAAGCCAGCTTCATATCTGACTGTCTCAGGAGGAGCTGGGCTCCTCAGCCCAGTGCAAAGCTCATTTTGCTGAATTCTTTAGGTTCTAGATACTTACTCCCTCAGGTTAGCAAATAGGTGGTTTGTAGCCTGGCTTTCAGCGATACTGACGGCCTTTGGCCTAGGAAATCATCTTGTCCAAGTTAAAATCTGTGTCTCATGTGGTTTGGCTTTATGAGTTGAAGACCGTTCAGAACACATGAAATTGTGACTGTAGGGTCAGATTGTTGATATCACCATTTTGTACTAGGGTTGGGTTGCTTAAGATGACACAGAAAGTTCAGCCCATGGCAGGATGTCCTTTCCATCTGCTCACTTTGGTGGTTACCTTCCTAGGGCCTCTGAGGGCCATATCATAGTCTCCTTGCTAGGACTTGTATGTCCAGTGTCTGTCGGGTGGCAGGATTTGGGATCTCATGGAACATTGCGTTTTTGCCCATGGAGAAATGTTACCCCTGGACTATGGGAAGTCCGCCTGGCTTTTTTTTTTTTCCCCAGTTATTTTTATTAGTTGGAGGCTAATTACTTTACAGTGTTGTAGTGGTTTTTGCCATTCAATAACATGAATCAGCCATGGGTGTACATGTGTTCCCCATCCTGAACCCCCCTCCCACCTCCCTCCCCATCCCATCCGTCTGGGTCTTTTGAGATCCCTTATAGTTCCTAGTAATGCTCAGCAGGTGTTTCACCTATCACCTTGTTTTTCATCTTATTTATGCTTAGTAAGTGCATGCATTAATGGCAGGTTGTTGTCTGCTACTATTTTAGGCTTGGCAGGACTCCTAGGAAAGAGACATATCACAGAAGGTTCTGCTGTAACCATTCAGGAAATAATCACCAGATATCTTCTTTATGTCCTAGCTCCCTTCTAGGTTCATTGCAGTGAGGTCTTACAGTGAGACGTGTGAAAGACCGGGCTGAATATTGAACTAAGCCCAGGAGATGATATGGAGACTTTGGTTTTGAAACATATATTATTAGCATTAGCTTGTTTTTTGTTTGTTTGTTTACTTTGGTGCAGAGACTCTGCTGCCTTTGCTTTAAAAATAGACATGGAGAAATTTTGTTCTCTGAGCCGACCCATCTATTTTTCTCTAACCTGGAAATAATGAACAGTGGTTTCTATGGACAAATGTGTTTTTTTGAGAAATGTAGCTCAAGAGCACAGAGGATAGCATCAGGGACTGTGCAATCCCTGAGTGACCCAGCATCAACCCAGGCCTGTCCCAGATAGAAGTGTGGCTCACAAGGAACGGTTTCAGTGTACAATGTAGAGACTGCCTTATGTGCTATGAATGGAGTTACAGTTGTTCCTATTGCCATGGAGGTTTACAATTTTGAAATCTGTTTTTGCCTGCAGGAACTACTAAGTCGTACATCTCTTGAGACCCAGAAGCTCAATCTGATGACCGAAGTGTCTGAGCTGAAGCTCAAGCTGGTGGGCATGGAGAAGGAACAGAAAGAGCAGGAGGAGAAGCAGAAAAAAGCAGAGGTGAGTGCGATAAACCACATTCTGGGGAGGACCCATACTATCCTAAGCTTAGATCAGAGGAAGCTATCCTAACGTGGCCTCAGGCCATCTGGTCAACCCCAAGCCTGACAGCCACTGAGTGCCAGAAACATCTATGCATCAGAGACTCAGTGATCTGTTAATACCTAGTTATCGGGTTTTGCTGTGGCTGCAGATTTCAGTAGTGCCCAAACCACCCTGTTTTGGCCCTAAACTTTATCCTCCCTAGGCTGCTGGCAAGGATGAAAAGGATCAGACAAGACTCAGAGGGACACGAGAGGTCTTCTGTGAGAGATGATCATGTGCTGGGATGGCCACTGTCGTTCATGGAGTCTGGAGACATTCTTTAATATGCATTTTAGTGACCCAGTTGCAACCCCTAGATTTTGTGTTTCTTTTCTCCTGATGGCTCCTGTGCGTGAGCCTATACACAGGCTTTCTCTTAGAGAATGTTTTCCTGTGACTTGTTTTGTTTTGTTTTCTCAGGCTTCATACGCCATTGACTGGAGCTTGCCAGATACTTTTTTTTTTTTGATAAATGTTTTGAATAAGGTTTAGGCTTAGAGCTCAGAACAGTCTGCTTTAACTTAATGTAGCCACCTTCTGTGTGAGTCTACTATTTGTATACTGTGCATTCTGAGATGTGACTAGAAGAGTAGCCTTTAGGTTTGGAAATGCCTTGGCTCAATTAACTGACCTAACTGATTAATAACTCTTTGAATTTCAGCAAGTTAACTACTTAATCTCTCTGAACTTCCATTTCTTACCTGTAAAATGGGTAACTGTGTTATGAAATCAGAAAAAAAAATAACAAAAGTTAAGTCTCTGTTGTATGATCTGACATCCTTGCTTCCATTCAGGCATATCTAAAATCTAAAGATGGATATTGTTCCTTTCAATTAAGTATCAATATCATCATCCTCTGAAACCTGGCACATTTGTGTTTAGTGGGTAAACACTGATAATGGAGACACTGCTAATATGTGGGGCATATTCCTTGTGTTGCTTTTCAGAACATGCTCATTAGTAAGAAGTATAATTGCCAAAAGAAAATTTATCTCCATTAAGCTGAGGACACTATATTCCGGTGATTAAGAGTGCACGCTCTTGAGTCAGATCTCTTGGCTGTAATCCAAGCTCAGCTACTCAGTAGCTCTGTGATACTCAGTTCAGTTCAGTTGCTCAGTTGTGTCTGACTCTTTGCGACCCCATGAACTGCAGCACGCCAGGCCCCCCTGTCCATCACCAACTCCTGGAGTCCACCCAAACCCATGTCCATTGAGTTGATGATGCCATCCAGCCATCTCATCCTCTGTTGTCCCCTTCTCCTCCTGCTCCCAATCCCTCTCAGCATCAGGGTCTTTTCCAATGAGTCAACACTTCACATGAGTTGGCCAAAGTATTGGAGTTTCAACTTCAACATCAGTCCTTCCAATGAACACCCAGGACTGATCTCCTTTAGGATGGACTGGTTGGATCTCATGGCAGTCCAAGGGACTCTCAAGAGTCTTCTTCAACACCACAGTTCAAAAGCATTTGTGATCTTAGAAAAGTAATTGAACCCCCCCAACTTCTGTTTCTTCTTCTATAAAATGGAGATTAGTAATACTTAACTATTTGCTCAGTTGTTCTGAGGAAGGAAGGAGATCATATGTATGTATAGTCCTTAGCATAGAGCTGGATAGCAAGCTTTTATTAGTTACTCACTGATTGTGTTTTTGAGCATGCTAGAAATGGAAATGTAGACCTAGCTACATTATTGACCTACTGCAAAGTTCACACAGACTGAAAGCTTATCTGTGTGAAGTGTCAATTGAATAGACTATACTTCTTAAATGTTTAGAGATAAGCAACTGGATTTTCTCCAGATTTAGAGTTTTTACCAATATTTCAAGACATGTGATCACATGTGGATATACATTCAGGCTTGGGGGCGGAAGACTTAAAATCACAGAGACAACTCAAAACCATGGAGAGAAGGAAGGGAAAGAGAGGGAGGACTATTAGGTCACACAACTGGAACAGTCTAGGGTTTTAAAAGCTGATCACACTAGATCCAGTTGGCTTCACCATGTCGTTAGAAATCAGGTTTAGTGCCTCATTTAGTTCTGTTTCAATCCTTGTTCTTGGTTTCCCAGATGGCTCTGTGGTAAAGAATCTACCTGCCAGTGCATGAGGCGTAAGAGATGTGGGTTAGACCCCTGGGTTAGGAAGATCCCCTGGAGAAGGAAATGGCAACCTGCTCTAGTATTCTTGCCTGAAAAATTCTGTGGACAGAGGAGCCTGGCAGGCTACAGTCCATGGTGTCACAAAGAGTTGGCCACGAATGAGCATGCATGCACCAGCCTTATTCTCAGGAAGGCTCTCCCATGTGTGATGAAGGTGGCCAAAGATAGCCTTAGATCCTAGTAGCCTAGCGGCCTCTGCAGAAAGGGAGAGATTCTCTCTTTCAAAGGTTCCCCAGGATTACATCTCATTGGGCTAGTTTGGCTCAAGTGTTTTGTTCTGAACCAGTCTCTGTAGTGGGTGTGGGCCCACGTATGGGTGTGTGTGCGTGAGCCTTAGAGTCAGTTCATGGCAGCAGAATGCTGGGTTAGCAATGAGCTGGATCAGTTCAGCTCCTTTCTGGATAAGGAAGGGGAGCCCCCACTTCCAGGCCAAGTACCACTAATGCAGTCATTTTACTGTTTGCTTTATTTTTTCTTTTCTGAAGGATTATTTTTCAGTCTGAGTTTTTGTTTTTGTTTTCCATTAGACTGTTCATGTATGGGGCACCATAAGCCCTAAGTCTCTGACCTCAGTCCTACCAGATAACAGGCCTTCCCATCTGCTAGTACAAGCATTAGGTTTCCACGTGGAGGAATTTTTCAGGCCGTTGAAACTTGTGATATTCAGTGAACAGCCCCCTGACCTGAAACAACTTTCTCATTCTTATAATTGAACAGGATCTTTGCTGGTATGTTCAGACCCAACACTACTGCCTGTAACTATCTGGAGCTTCTGAGGCTGAGAGCCATGCAGAGGGCTGCTTAAGCTGCACTATTGTCCTATGCTTGAGGGTGTTTATTTTATGTGAGATGTTTGGCCAGCTCAGGTCACTGAGGGTGTAGTAGCATGATTAAAGAGAATGTTGCTTCTCATCCTATGCTGCTGCTGTTTTTCTAGTGAATGTACTTCGCCTAAGGCCTGATTGCTTGTAGTTTGAAAGAGGCAAGACTTTTTTTTTTCTTTTTCTTTTGAGGTAGCTAGATCTGAACAAACTTTCTATGTGTACCTCAGGATTTATCCTAAGCCAGTATCCTGCTGCCCTATAGTCAGTATGGAAGTGATTACAAGTATTCATATGTAAACCCGAGGATTTTGAGGTGTAGGTTTCCTGTTAAAGAAATACAAGGACTTTGAGGTGTAGGTTTCCTGTTAAACGAGTACAATCCTGACAGCCAGCTCGCTCAGGAGTCGCTGGTGACCCTTATGAGACGTGGGTGAATACTGGATTTCCTGTTTACTGTACCTTTTCTTCTGAGCCTTTTGCGGTGGTTCTGGGTCATTTCAGGGGACCCATGTTTGGGCCTGTTAGGTTTATGCCTGAAAAGTAGGATGATAGGAAAAGTGACCAATGTGAAAAGTAATACCACTATTAGGAGGATGGGACATGAAAGAAAGCAATCCAGAGACAAAGGAAAACCTCTGGGTGGTACATCTATCAAAGTCATGGCCCTTGGAGGGATCTTCCTTGGAGAAGAGCATCTGGCTTCCAGCACTGGGTATGCAGGGAGGCCTGCAGCTGCATCCCCTTCTGCGTGTAGTACCAGAGCAGCCTTCCAAAGGGGACCAGGGACCCGGCATGTGCTGGAAATGGAATCAACCCGATGGATCAGGAATATCACAACGAGAACCAGAAACAGGCTCTAGGATTTCCTGGCAGAAAATGGAATATCTTGTAGCACAGATGCTATTGTCATGCTTGCTTTCTTCCTATGGGTGGGACCTTGGAAAGGAAAGATTCTGATTTCTGAACTGGGGCAATCAGAATGATGGAGTACAGAACAAAGGCTGGGATGATTGTGTTTGCTCCGAGAGGCGCTAGCCTGACTTAGGAGAGTTTTACTGTTCTTGTTTTTATTTTATGTATTTTATTTTATTTACTCATTTTTATTTGTATAGGAAATATACCACAACAATTCAGAAATTAAGAGTTCAGAAAGGTATATGCAGCAAAATCTCTTCCTCGTGGCTGTTCCCCCGCCAGCAGTCAGGCCCAGTGTTGTCAGTTTGTTTCATGTCCTTCAGAGTTATCCTATGTATGGATGAGCAAATTGAGGTGGATGAATTATTTTCCTCATTTTTACACAGTTACACATTACTCTAGATCTTTCTCTTTTTTAATCAGAGTTCGTTTCATATCAAGCACATTAAAAACTTTTTTTCCTCATTCATATTTATGTTTATGTATTATTTCACTCTCTACCCTCATTTATGGGGGCAGGAGGAGAAGGGGACGACAGAGGATGAGATGGCTGGATGGCATCACTGACTCGATGGGCATGAGTTTGAGTAAACTCCGGGAGTTGGTGATGAACAGGGAGGCCTGGCTTGCTGCGATTCATGGGGTCACAAAGAGTCAGACATGACTGAGCGACTGAACTGAACTGAACCCTCATTTATTTAGCCATTTCTCTCTTTTTGGGTGGACATTTGTTTCCAAGTGTTTGCTCTTATAAGTGATGCTGTTGTGAATAAATGTGTAAATGTGTGAAGATATTGAAGTGAAATTGAAGGGTCAAAGGGTACATGCATTTGACCTTTTGACAGGTGTGGAGGTGGTATTCCCACCCTGATGTTTCGGAGTGCCAGGATGATACTAAACTGAGCATGAAGTAAGAGGGAGAAAAACAACTAAGTAAAACTGTGAACAAGTTTAACAGGTAGGATAGGATGGGAAAGACTGATTATGGGAACTGCCCAGTAGTTTCACACAGAAA